TCCAGGAGGAAAGTTTATGGCTTACATATCGCATGGCATGGTTCCATCTGTTTCATTGTGTTGAAAGGACCAAATGCTGTCAAAGTGATGGATGTTGTCATACTTAGGAGGATAGGTCAGAGGTTGACATGCTTTGGAGGCGATATGGACCAAGAGAGGAGCAAAACAAAGAATTAAAACATTTTCCCATACTAATTTGGCCTCAGGGCACTTTTTGGCTTGAAACATTTTGACAGAATCTATAAATGTAGGGGTGGAGTGAGAATGGGGTTGTTGGAATAGCTACACCCTTGGGAGGCTTTGGAGCAAAATAGATCAATTTGAATCTATTTTCAAACTAAAGTTCTGCCACATGTAATAGGGTTGTTTTGATCCATACACATATCCTTTCATATTTAACATCTTAGAAGGAACAATAATACTGACATTTCCCCATTCTGAACCTCCTCCCAAACCCTTAGTCACATGGTATGGAATTCCACTGATCTGTGGAACACAGTTTGGGAAATTTTGAATTAGAATGTATGAGAGGACAAGAATAGCCCAGTTGTCTAATGGAAAATGATGAACATGGAATTAGGAGAACTGTTTTTGAATCCTGGCTCTGACCATGATTAGCCATGTTTGTTGTTTCTGTTCAGTCATTTTTCAGTCATGTCTGACTGTTTGTGACCCCCCCTGGGGTTTTCTTGACAGAGATACTAGAGTGGTTTGTCATTTCCTTTCCCAGCTCATTTTACAGATGAGGAAACTGAGGCAAACAAGGTTAAGTGACATCACTTAGAGTCACACAGCTAGTAAGTGTCTAAGGCCAGATTTGAATTCAAGTCTTTCTGACTCTAGGCCCAGCATTCTGCCCATTAAGCCAGCTAGCTGCCCTTAGCCATGTAACTGTGGCCCAATTACTTTTCCTCTGTGAGCTTAGATGATGATAACTTTACTTACACTGCCTCCCACAAAGAGTTGAAAAAATGCTTTGCTTGATCCTAGAGTGTAATTAAAATATATTATGTATAACATATATAATTAATATAACACATTAATATTATATATAATAATTAAAATATGTTATATATAAAGTTAATTTTTATATAAGTTATTTTAGAGAAGGCCATAAGTTTAGAAAAAAACCAGATGCTGCAATGACCACAGTCTCTGAGTTTTTTGTTTTTTCTTCCTTCAGGCTAAAATAATATTGAGAAAAGATGCTTCACCTTTCCCCCCTAACTCCAGCCATAGCTGGTTCTGCTGACTGTCTGGCTACCCCTCACTTGCCCCCAGTAGTCAGTGCAAATGTCTGTGAAAGTTTCAGAGCAAAACTATCCTGGAGTCATAGGGGGCTAAGGCCAAGGAGCTCGAACAGTGGGTGTAGACATGGAGGGCCACAGAATAGATTAGACATCCAGAGCTGGAGAAGATGCTAGAGGTCATCTACTCCAATCTCTGTTATGTAAATGAGGAAACTGAGGTTCAAAATGTTAAAAAAAAAAAAAACTTGCCAGAAGTCATAGAGGTTGTAAGTGGCAAAATCAGGATGTGGACCCAGGTGGTCTGAAGATCTTCACCATCCTAAGTGGGAATTGAGAGTCAGCAGAATCCTAAAGAATACTCAGGCTTATGGAGTTACTTCTGGAGAATTCCTGAGTTGGAGTTTTACCCTTTGGGCAGAGCACCTTAGCTAGTGGTCATTATATAAGCTAATGTCCTTGTGATCACTCACATTGGGAAGGATGTATAAGGAAGAAGAAAGGCCCTAATTATAACTGTGCAGTCCCTATCTTCCCACTATCATTATATTCTCAGAATAATTGCTTTTTTGCACATTTATACTCATAACTATTTGTTGATGGTTTACACAAAAAGTCTCTGAGATTTAATTTAATAGTCTTGTTCATTTATGAGGCAGACTGCTTAACTGGTCTCAACATCATATTTTTCCCTTGTAAAGTTAATAGGGCAGCTAAATGACACAGAGAGCTGGGCTTGGAGTCAGGAAGACTCATCTTACTGAGTTCAAATCTGGCCTCAAACACTTACTAGCTGTGGGACCCTGGGCAACCCTATTTGCCTCAGTTTCCTCATCTGTAAAATGAGGTGGGAAAGGACATGGCAAACCGCTCCAGTATCTTTGCCAAGAAAACTTCAAGTGGGGTCACAAAGAGTCGGACATCACTGAAACAACAGAACAACAGCAAACAAAGCCAATAACCCTACCTATACCACAAGGTTATCATGAAGCTTGACACAAATAAAAAAAGAGTTTTGTATGAAAAGGCTCTGTAACCTTTCAGGAGCCATATAAATATACTCCAATGCTATTACTACTATTATTGTATGTTCGACATTAGCCAATTATCATTCAACATTAGCCAGATAATGTCCACATAAATTAAAATAAATACATAAGACTATTACACATACTGAAAACGAGGTATGAAGAAATAGCACAGAGGTATTAGATGATGGTTGGACAGTTGGATAAATCAAATGCTGCACATGTATCCACTTAATATCAAAAGAATCAGAGGAAAGACAATGGTGTGCTGGGTAGCTCCTCTAAGGAGAACCCAGAAACGCATAGGCAAGAACCAGACAGGATCTGAGACTGTATATATGAGTTGTGATCTGCACTAGGAAAGAAATGCTCACACAAACAAAACTATAAAACCACTGAAGTATTTTTAAAAACACTCAATGATATGCTGGAAATAAAAAATTGAGTAAGCACTTACATAGAGTATATCACTCATTTAAAACATAAACAATCAACCTTAGAATGGTATGTTAATGTTTGGATTCATTGTGAATGAAGACCGTTGATATGGTACCATGCAATACCAAGAGAGCTAGTTGTAGAGAAATGAGACATGAACTCAGATCTTATCATTGACACTTACCTAGTTGTGTAACCTTGGGTAAGTCACTTGAGCTTCAGTCTTTTCATTTGTAAATTGGTGACAATAATATTTGCCCTATCTACCTCATGGCATTGCCAGGAGGAAAACATTATGGAAACTATAAGATATTCTACAGACATATTGTCTACTACTATTAATGAGCATTAGCCCATGGAATGAATTTTGCCTCTGAGTAGGTTAGTGATATAGTAATCTGCTATTGCTCATTATCCCAAAATTAAATAGAATACATTTTTGAGCCTCCTACACTCCAACAGCCTTAGGATCTTGCTGATAATTACTAACATAGAAGGAGAAAGCCAAGCCTCATCACTACAGGGTGTGTGGGAATGTGAGCCAGAGGTTAGAACTTTAGGGAAAAAAAAGCCAAATATCAACTGGAATTAAGGCTGAGAAAGACCAAGATATTTTGAAAGGTTTATGGAGAGATAAGGGAAAGATATAAGATTGAGACAGAGGTTATGGCTATTCTGTTGGACAGGTATAGAGAATGGAAATTTAAGTTTTAAGATTCATTGAGCAGAAACAATGAAATGTTCCTAAAGATCAACAGTAGTTCTAATTATTACCTACATACACAGCAACTCCAATCCTTTATGTGCATTGGTCACTAAAAAGAATAATGTAAGGGGCAATGTGGCATAGTGGGTAGAGAACTAGCCCCAGTGCGAGGAAGACATTGCTTCAATATATGCTTGGTGTGTAATTTTGAGCAAATTTATTTAACCTCTCGGTATTTAGGCAACTCCTTATGATTTTACAGCTTGTTCTTGATTTGTGTGGATAATGAATCCCATGAACAGGTCCTATGTGTTCGAATTCATACTATTCAAAGTTGTATTTTATGTAAAATATGATAATTATACCCAGCCCCATGGAAATATGAAATGCGAAACTGAATAGCAATGTGAGCCCTTAGGGGATTCTTTATCACATTAATTGGGATCTAGCTATTAGCAACAGAAAAGGTGTTGACCTGGATTGGTAGATGGAATTTCCTCACCTGGGAAGCCCTTATTCCAATTCAATACTAACTCCAATCCTTATTTCCAGCAGAAACTTGACAACTACCACACTTTACCTTGCAATAACATGGGAAGGAAATGTACTGTTATGCACTACATTATTGGGGAAGTAATAATGGTATACTTTGAAAATTTATCTCACTTATATTAAGCCCATCCATTGTGTGTTTTAATTTTTAGAAAGCTTCCCAGGCGTAAGCATAGGCATCTGTACTGCAGGTGATTATCCACCCATGAATGCTAGGAACTACAAATGCATATGTACAGTAAGATACATGGAAAACAACGTGGGACTCTGTGGTGAGAGGGAAAATTCAATGGGCCTTCCTTTCTCTGACACCACTTAGGGGCCATTATACATGAAAGTAAGTGATAGAGTCTTGTTACATAGACACTGATATATTGAGCTGTCAGTGAATCTAAAATAGGAATTCAAGGTACAGAAAAGGGGTCTGACATCTGTTCTATATTGTGAGGGAATATACAGATACTTTAAAAAGATTATTTTATTGGTAAATTAGAAAAACATTTTGTCGATCTCTCACAGCATAGAAAATGTGTCACGCCCTTTCTTTTCCACCTTGGATCCTTCTGTTTCTGACTCACTGACAACTCAATATATCAGTGTCTACGTAATAAGCCACTGTTGGTTACTTTCATGGTTCCTTGGCCCTGCATCACAGTCTTGTTAAATACAAAATGTTTTTTCCTGGGTCAGAAGTGAGGGGGATTGGCTGCCAGAGGGAGTGTAGCTCACGAAATTGGATTGTGGGGAAACAAGGAAGGGGAAGCTTTCAGCTCCTGCTCCCCCCTCCCCATCTCCATGTCTGTTGCTGATGACCAGCAGTACTTTCCCTGTGGAGGTGTGCATTCCACTGATTGAGCCCTAGAGTACATACAATCAACCCCCTCCCTCCTCAAAAAATACCATCCCACACTCTCAGAAGAGCAAAGCACAAGAGGCATAGATGTTAGCCTGAAGGCTTCATTCTTGAACATGTCTCCCCAAATTAAAAAAAAGAAACTGGAGGAGGGTTTCTTTCAGCTGTTTACTTACATGGCTCCCAAGACCTTCCAGTAACTGAAGCCTTTGAATTATAGTGCGTGTAGATGTGACGCTTTGGTTCAAAAGCCCTTCATGTCAGCAGGCAGGCACTCTTAACTCTCCACTGGTTCCGAATGATAAGTAATTTCCTGATTTGCTCTCCAAAAAATTTCCCCAGACCCTGGGGGAGGAGGGGCACACGTTGTTGAGAGATTGTGAAGCAGGCGGCATAGGGCTCAGCTACACTGACAAAAACTTCCCGATGGGTTGAGTCGCAAAGAAACATTCCTTGAACACTCTAACAAGAGTAAATATCCTACTATATCTGTTGGCTCATTACTGAATTCCTCTTTGAACAACAACACAGATCGTCTGCAAAATTGACATTAGCAAACCGTAATACTTCAAGTTAAACACCACTCTGATCTCTTTGGCATGAAAAACACCCAAACAAACCCCCAAATAGCCATGAATCTGTTTTTTGACATATCTCCAAGGATCATTTTGCTTGCTTTTTTAGAAAATATTTCATGTTAGTACAGCATGTCAGAGTTAGAAAGGACATTGGAGATTATTTAATCCGTTCCCTTATTTATTTTTTTTTCCGTAGGATGATAGATTTAGAGCTGTAAATGATAATTAGAGATCATCTTGGCTAGCCTTCCAATTTACGGTTGAGGAAATTGAGGCTAAGAGAGGTTAAATGACCTGTCCATGGTCATAGAAAGTAAATGATTGAGTGAGGCTTTGAATCCAAGTCTTCTGACTTCAAATCCAGCATTCTCTCCACTATATCATAAAGCTTCTCCATGATTCCATTTCATTGATTTTAAAAAAATGTTGCTACCTTTGCTTTTTTACATCATAGTCACTTCTCACTGAATCTTGCTTTGTAACAAAGAAAAGGGCAAGCTCCTACTATGCACTGTGTTAAGAGATTCACAAATATTATCTCATTTGATCCTTACAATAACCCTAGGAGGTAGATGCTATTATTATCCTCATTTTACCATCGAGGACACTGAGGCAGGCAGAGGTTACATGACTTGCCCAAGATCACACAGGCAAGTGTCTGAGGTTGGCTATAAACTTAGGTCTTCCTGATTCCAGGACCAGCCCTCTAGCCATTGTACCACCTACCTGCTAAAGAAAAACAATTAAGCAAAACTCCTTTACAAAAACATCTTTGTCTGACAACATGTCCACTTTACTCCTTTAGTCTCACACCTTTCACTAAGAGGAGGGAAATATGTATCATTACCTATTCTCCATGACCAAGATTGGCCAATGCAACTAATCAGAGTTTGGTTGCCTATTAGTGTTGTTTTCATAATCTTATTTCAGTTATTGTATATATTTGTCTCCTAGTTCTGCTTACTTTATTCTGCAGCAGTTCATTTAAGTCTTGTGTTTCTCAGAATTTTTCATGTTATTTCTTATGGTGTCAAAAAGTTCTATTTATGTATCACAATTTATTGGACAGAGGCAGCAGGGGGAGGGTCTCCTGAGTTATGAACCACAATTTTTTTATGGGTAAAATAGAGGCATCATGATGTAGTGGATAAAATGTTGGCCACTGAGTTGGGAAAACCTGTGTGTCAGTCCTACCTCTGATGCACAATGACTGTGTGACCTTGAATAAGTTGTTTATCCTTTCAATGTCCCAATACTTTAACACTATAAATTGAAGATCTAATTCAAATCTGCCTTGATAAAGGATGTTCCCACACCAGGAATCCCTATGCTGATGACATCAGATGTCCAGACTTTTCCTAATCTCTATACAATCAGCTCTGTTTTATGATTTGCTCTAGCTCAACCTGGAATTAGGTGGAGGAACCAGATGGCAGAGTTACTTTGGAATCAGAATGAATAGTTCAGGGATTGTGGAAGGTAAAAAGGGCAAATAATTTCAAGATAGCAGCAAGCAAAACAGTCATATAATAGAGCATGGTATCAATGCTGGTGATGGAAGGAAGTGGAACCAGACTGGGGGAGATGGTCAGCAAGAATAGAGGTGTCCAGGGGACCAGATGGGTCATAGGAGTTACAGATAAAAGGACCTTAGAAGTTATTTAGTCTAAACTTCTCTTTCAAGATGAGGAAACTGATCTAAAAAGGAACTAGAAGAGGGCAACCAGGATGATGAAGGGCGTTGAGTTCATGTCATATAAGGATTTGTTGAAAGAACTGGGCATGCTTAGCCTGAAGAAGGATAAATTTAAGGGAGACATTGTTAGGGTGAATGTCTCATGGTCTCATGAGAGCTCTGTTGAGGGAACTTTCCCATGGGAGTTCTAGCTTCTATCAGTAGAAGCTGAGGGTCACAACATAGTTGCATGGCAAAAATAAGGAAGTCTCCCAGGACCTCTCCTTTGCTGACATGCAGCTCCCATGGTTGGTTTGGCTCTCCTCTCACTGGGAGATGAGTCCTGACACGAGTTCCAGCAGACCTGATGATTGGCTATCACAGGGGGATCACGCGTTGAACATGCATCACTAGGGCCATAAAAGACAGCTACTGCACTAAATAAACGGAGCTTCTGCGACCTTGCTGTCTCCCGCCTCATCCATGCGTCTCAGGGTTACTGAGCACTGAGCTGGTCTCATGCTCACCACTGCAGCGGCCGAGTCAAGACATGATAGTTGTCTTCTAATACTTGAATGGTTTTCACGTGAAGGAAGGGAATTAAGCAATTCTATTTGGCCTCAGAGGGCAGAATCAGGAGCAATCAGTAGGAAGCTGCCAAGAGGCCAATTGAGGTTGATATCAAGAAAACATTTTGAATGGTTAGAGCTATCTGGAAGTGGAATGGACCATCACTATCCCCAAAAGAAGATTCATTTTCCCCTCCTTCCAGGTCTTTGAGCAAAGGCTGGACTATCATTTTTCAGTGATTACAGTAAGGATTCATTTTTGGTATAGGTTGGACTATAGGGCTACTGAGGTTCCTACCAACTCATTCATGAATTCTGTGGAGTGACATGTCCAAAGTAACACAGGTAATACTTGGCAAAGCTAGGGTTTGAACCCAGGTTCTCTGACTCCAAATCTAGTGATCTTTTTTTTTTAACTGTATGATAGGGGAAAAAGTAAATTTAGTGTGAGTAAAAGAAGTGGAAGAATAGGAAAAAAAATTCAAAGTTTAGGATCAAGGAAGAGGATTCTGGGAAGATGGTGGAGTATGTCAGAAAGCTTTCCAGATTTCCTCTACAAACAAGACAAAACAGCACCTAAGGGTAAACGTAGAGCAGCAAAAATAAACAAGAGTTGGGGCAGAACAATGGTCCTCCTGGGACAATGAGAAGAACTGAAGAAAGACCCCAGGATGGAGGTTCACCTGAGTGAAGTGTAAATATTTCCAGGCTATCTCCTCTGAAACAACAAACAATAAGCCCTGGACAACTGGGTTGGGAGATAGCCTCAGCCTCAGCCACAGAAATTCTCACCTCACAGACAGTGTGGTGGGTCAGACATCTGAGCAGGGGAAGATTGAAGGGACCTCTGCAGCAGAGGGAAGCCAGGCCCAGCTGTGCTTCTGAGACAAGACACAGTCCCAGGCTGCAGTTGAAAGGGAAAAGGAACCAGTACACACCCAGCGAATGCAGAAGCACCTGGGCAGGGATGCTGCTGGCTGTGAACACTTACAGGAGAACTGAGTTCTTCCTTTTCATTCCAGGCCAGAATGGAAAGCTGAAAGTTATAGTCACTGGAAGTCCTTAAGGAGCAAGAACAGTTCCAGCATGGTGTTCTGGGGGCCCCTAACTATGGCTTGGGGAGGGAAAGGAGTGCAGAGGTTGGACCAGGACAAAGCTAAAAAAATAACAATATGAAAGACCTGAGGCCAGAGGCACTATCCCCCATACCCCAGAATTAGAGGTGATTATAATAATGAGCTGTGAAAAACAAAACAAAGCAAAACAAAACAAAACAAAAATGATCAAGCAAAGGAGAAAGAACACAATTACAGACAGTTACTATGGGACTAGAGAAAACTGTGGTTCATCTTCAGAGGAGGATACTGAAGCAAAAAAAGTCTCTCCTACCCCAAAGAGTAATGTGAAATGGTCACCTGCCCAAAAAGAATTCTTAGAAGAATGAAAAAAGATTTTAAAAATCAAATAAGAAAGATCGAGGAAAAATAAAAAAAAAATAAGAACAATCCAACAAAAGCAAGAAGAATATGAAAAGAAAGTCAACCAACTGAAAAAGGAGATCCAGAATCTTGAGGAAGAAAATGACTCCTTGAAAACTAGAATTGGGCAAGGGGAAGCCAATGATGTTATAAGAGAACAAGAAATAATAAAACAAAATAAAAAGAATGAAAAAATAGAAGAGAATGTGAAACATCTCGTAAGAAAAACAACTGAACTGTAGAACAGATTAAGAAGAGAAAACATAAGAATAATTGGACTATCTGAAAGCTATGATAAAAAAAAGCATCTTGATACAATAATGCAAGAAATAATTAAAGAAAATTATCCTGAAGTTTTAGAACAAGAGGGAAGGGTAGAAATAGAAAAAATCCACTGATCACCACTTGAAAGAGATCCCAGGATGAAAACCTACAGGAGTATCATAGCCAAATTCTGAAACCCCAGGTTAGGGAGAAAATATTATGAGCAACAAGAAATAAACAATTTAAATACCATGGAGCCACAATTAGAATTACACAAGACCTAATAGAGGCTACACCAAAAGACCACAGGTCTTAGAACAATATATATCAAAAAGCAAAAGAACTGGGGTTGTGGCCAAAAATATCATACCCAGCAAAGTTAAGTATAATCCTGAACGAAAAAAGGAAAGGATATTCAATGAATTGACAAAATTTCAGGATTTTGTCACAAAAAGAGCAGAACTTAATAGTAAATATAACATATAAGATCTGGGAGAAATAAAAGGTAAACATCAAAGACCAATTATAAGGGATTCAATAAGGACAAATTGTTTACTTTTTATGTGTGGAAATGTAAACTATATGCCTAAGATTGTCATTAGTAATTAGGTAGTTCAAAAGAAAGATTGGGGTAGACTTGAGTATGATGCCATTCGAAAGAGTAAAATGGTATAGGAAAAGTAAAAAGAGTAATTATCTCATATAAATGAGGCGTAAGAGGAAGAACTGATACAGAGAAATCAGATGGGGGAGGAGGGCTGGTAGTGCTAGAACCTCATTCACATCAGATCTTGAGTAAAGAGAGAACAACATATACATTTAGAAAGGTATAAAAGTCTTCTAAATTTATAAGGAAATAAGAGGGTTAGAGAACAGGAGAAGGGA